CTCACAGCCCTGTGAGGTCACGGGAGCTGCAGAGACATGGACCATCATGCCCCAGGATGCCCCCAAATCGCAGGGGGGTGGCTCTGAAGGCCGCTCAGTGCGGACGGGTCTGACTTCTCCATGTCCTCTGTGTCGCGTGGTGGTCACTTGGGTGTTGAAGCCCAAATCTAGAGGCTCAATGCTTAGTAAACAGCCCAAAGGGGACAGAGTGGGGCAAAGGCCTAACGGGGCAGCCACCTCGCCAGCGATGGGGAGGCTCACTGCGGAGATTCCCCGGCGGTGGAAACGTCCATCCCGGGGCAGCCTTCTCGGCAGCGATGGGGAGGGCCACGTCAGAGATTCACTGCAGAGATCCACCAGAGCTGGAACCACATCGCTGGCTGTAAAGCTTTGCCCCCACAGGGAAACCTCCTGCCATAAAACGACTCACCAGAGGCCAACCTGGAGCATGTCCGCAGCCTCCAGATGCTGACTGGGAAGTAAATCGTTTTTATACCTCCTCGGAGACCCCGAAATAAAAGAGGCAATCTGTGCTGTTAACATAATGACTTCCCCAAGGAAAGTAGGAAGGTTCTGAGACCGGCTGCAGAACCCTGTCCAGCAGGGGAAGCGCTCTCTCTGCGGGGTTTGGGGAGAGCCTGGGTGCAAACTCTACCTCTTTCAGACTAACAGGCTCGGAAGGGACTCCGGCTTTTCCTGGTCAAATGCAACTTGGCACATAAAAAAGATGCCCAGTGCTTTAATGTACGTTCTGATTGTGTCAGCAGTGCAAACTCATGGGTGCATTCATGGGTCCTCATCAGGCTGGTCCCCTGGATGCCACCTGCCCTGTGCCTGTGGCTTACATGCAGTGTCACAGACGGCTCATCCCTCGGCACCCTAGGCCATTAGCTGCACAGTCGTGCTGTTGGTCGGCAGCGTCCGTGCCCGCCCCGGGGATGGTGGGTTTGAGCAGAGTCCATGGTGCCTGGTGAGGGTGAGTTTGAGCAGAGTCCACGGTGCTTGGTGAGGGTGGGTTTGAGCAGAGTCCACGGTGCCTGGTGAGGATGGGTTTGAGCAGAGTCCACGGTGCCTGGTGAGGGTGGGTTTGAGCAGAGTCCACGGTGCCTGGTGATGGTGGGTTTGAGCAGAGTCCCCGGTGTCTGGTGAGGGTGAGTTTGAGCAGAGTCCACGGTGCCTGGTGAGGGTGGGTTTGAGCAGAGTCCACGGTGCCTGGTGAGGGTGGGTTTGAGCAGAGTCCACGGTGCCTGGTGAGGGTGGGTTTGAGCAGAGTCCACGGTGCCTGGTGAGGGTGGGTTTGAGCAGAGTCCATGGTGCCTGGTGAGGGTGGGTTTGAGCAGAGTCCCCGGTATCTGGTGATGGTTTGAGCAGAGTCCACAGTGCCTGGTGATGGTGGGTTGGAGCAGAGTCCACAGTGCCTGGTGATGGTGGGTTGGAGCAGAGTCCACAGTGCCTGGTGATGGTGGGTTGGAGCAGAGTCCAAGGTGCCTGGAGGGCTCATTTGCACGTGAGGTTCATGCTGTGTTGCTGTGATTTCCAGTTAAGGGACAGCTTTGCCCCAGCCCTCCTGTGACCCCATCGTGGCTCTGAGCTTGGTCCCACCCTGACCCCTGTTGGCTCCTGCCCCAGGGCTGATCCAAGCTCCCCAGGGCAGTTGTAGCCGTGACCAGACTCTGCCCATTGGTGACAGAGCGAGGACCTCCCCCCAACCCCACCCCATGCTGAAGACTTCCTAAAACAAAATTAACTGCTAAATGCTACAAACGGTGGGCTAATTAGAAGTTAGCTCCTGGGCTGGGTCTAGATAGTCACCATTTCATATTAGCAAGCAGGACCCTTAAAAATGGATTCTTTTTCAAACGCTGCTCTGTCTACTTAAAATAGCAAAACCCTCGGAACGGCAGCCGTCTCGACAGCCGCATTTTATTTTGCCTTTTCTCGAAAGCAGATGGGAGGAGTTTCTCCCGCCGGCGGTGAGCGCGGCACAGAGCCCCGTGCGGCGGCCAGGAGGGGGCGGTGGCGGCGCGGGGCTCTGTCCTGGAAGGGAGGTGCCGCTGAAGGAAGCCGGAGCCCTGGTCTCTCCGGGGCTGTCCCTGAGGACTTGAACGGAGGTGGGAACGGGCTCTTGGAAGCCGGAAAGACGACCCCCGTGGGAGGTGGGACGTGGACCAGAGCGCTCACCTGTGGTGGTGCACAGGATAGGACCCGCCCTTCTCCAGTGGATTCTTCCTCTCCCTGGAGAGGCCCCTTCACGGTTCCCCAGGGAGGACAGTGGGAGGTGGGCACTCAGGTCTGGGGTCTGCAGGAGCCCACTTGTCACTCGTGGGTTGGGGCCAGGAGTCACTAAAAGTCATTTAAGCGTCAGCTGGTGTCTCTCCTTTTACGGCAGCTTGTTCTCTAAGAGAGCAAAGCACCTTTAGAATCTCCTCTCCCGTTTCCAGGAGTCCGTGTCCCCGAAGGGCCTGCCCGCCCGACATCTTCTGAGTCTCCTCCAACAAAGCCAGCCGAGCCCCCTCCCCGCCTCCTCCTCGGGCCTCTCTACTCCTGTGCACTCCTTCTGGGCCTTTCCTGAGCTCCTGGGGTTTTGTCCTCAGGACAGAGCCGGAACGGGGGGAGAGGCAGCACCCGCTGGGCCCTGTGAGCACCTTCCCCTTTGTAAATGAAGATGCCTCTGATGACGTCCTCAGGGCTACTGGGCACAGCCTCAGCCCTGTCTGTGGGTCCAGCCCTGTCTGGAGTGGCATCCCGAGGGCACCTTCCTCTCCCTGCACCCCACAACGGCTCCCTCCTCTGCCGTCTGCCCAAGCCTGGTCCCTCCAGCTCCCCCCTGCCAACCACCTCACACGTGCAGAGCTGATGTCAGCCCCGACGGGCCCCCTCCCCGTCCAGGTGGAGGCCGGCAGGCCCTGCAGGGTGAGAGGTGCCCAGCCTCTTCCCAGTTCTCCTTTTAGCGCCATAGGTTCCTCACAGTTCCCAGGTATCCCCTTCTGTGAGGCTATCTTCATTCACCCCTGGAGGCCGGGCCCACCTGGCTGCCCCATGGTCCTGCCCCTTCCCTGGTCACCTCCACTGGTCTTTGAACTCGATACCCGCAAAGTTTGGCCTTCATCAAACTGCAAGGGTCCACGTCCAAGTCTCCCTCCCATGGTCCTGTGAGCAGATAAACAGACTGGAGACAGAGCCTGGGTTCACCCCGAGAGGAGATGCGGGAGCCGGGGCTGGGGGCTGTGTTTTGGGGGAAGCTCCCATGTGTGATCTGCCTGCTTGTCCCTTCCATCCTGGCTGCCTTCACTGCCCTGTGACAGGTGACAAGAGCAGAGGGTAAACAAGGATAGGAGGAGAAGGTGCTTTTTCCTCTGTTAGGGAAAGCTGGTCACGGTGAGGATGGAAGGAGGCCCCAGGAGCAGGAGGGCCACAGAGGGACCCAATGGACCTGTCAGGAGCATTGGGCAGCCAAGAGGAGTATCTGAGGGAGAGGAGCAGCGGCCTGAAGGAACATCAGAGGGAGAGAGGAGCACCTGAGAGGAGAAGAGCAGCTGGAGGGGAGGAGCACCTGGAGGAGAAGAGCAGCTGGGGGGAGGAGCACCTGGAGGAGAAGAGCAGCTGGCGGGGAGGAGCACCTGGAGGAGAAGAGCAGCTGGAGTGGAGGAGCACCTGGAGGAGAAGAGCAGCTGGAGGGGAGGAGCACGTGGAGGAGAAGAGCAGCTGGGGGGAGGAGCACCTGGAGGAGAAGAGCAGCTGGGGGGAGGAGCACCTGGAGGAGAAGAGCAGCTGGAGTGGAGGAGCACCTGGAGGAGAAGAGCAGCTGGGGGGAGGAGCACCTGGAGGAGAAGAGCAGCTGGAGGGGAGGAGCAGCTGGGGGGAGGAGCACCTGGAGGAGAGTAGCTGGTGGGCGCATCTGAGGGAGAGCAGCAGCTGGGGGAGGTGCCTGGCGGCCTGGTAGGAAATTGTGAGGGTCTCAGCAGCCTCGTCTAACCACCTCTTCTGAGGCAGTGAGCATCTTCCATGGGGTCGAAGCTGGAGGACTTGCTGTGACCAGTGGAGACCACTGATTGCCTACACCAGGGTCCCCAGTGCCTGGCCGTGGCCCGTTAGAAGCTGGGCCGCACAGCGGGAGGCAGGCAGTGGGTGAGGGAGTGAAGCTTCATGTGTATTTACAGCCACTCCCCTTGATGGGACACAGAGCCATCTCCAAAAAACCGAAAGGAAATCCATCTCCAGGAAACAGTGACTGCCATCCCCTCTCCCGCCAGCCCTGGCAATCACCGTTCTGCCTTGTTCCTGGTTTGCCTCCTGTAGATCCTGAGTGTATCCAAGAAGTCAGATGGGACTTGTCCTTCTGTGGCCGCTCATTTCACCCAGCCTAGTGTCTTCGGGGTTCTCCTGCCGTAGCGTGTGTCCGAATCTCCCTCCTTGTTCCAGCTGCATCGTGTTCGGTTCCGTGGATGTTCCGCGTTTGTGTAGCCACTCACCCGTCGACGACGTGGGTTGCTTCCCCTGGGTGGCTGCCTGGGTTGTGCTGCTGTCCCAGGCCCTGCTCTCAGTATTCCGGGCATTTCCTGGGTGTGGCTTGCGGGTCTCTGTGGAGGAGCCCGGGTCATGGAGTCCCCTCCACGGACTGAGAGCTCGTGGTTTATACGCATTGTTGCCGTGGTGTGGCCTCACAGCCACCTGCGGAATTCTGGGTTTGAAGCCGGGTGCCCACTCTCAGTCTCTGATTCCTAAGGGGAAAAGAATTCACAGGTGTGGAGTGTTTATCACGCGCTGGGTGTAGAGATGTGCTCTTAGATACGGGCTCCCTGTTTGGAGGCACCGTAGGGAGGGCAGATGGGCTCTGAGGTCTGGGGCTGGTTCCCCGGCATGCCTAGGCCAGGTAGCGTCCTCAATGCTGGGACGAGGGCAGGTGGGGGGGGTCTGTGTGCCCCCACCCCGGCACATGGCCCCTGAGCTCCAGGCCAAGGCTCTGGGGGAGCTGCTCACACGTGTGCTTCCCCCACCAGGTGAATGAGAAGATGTAGGGCCGTGACAGTCCTGGTGACACCTGCTGGGAGCTTGGTGTGGACACCCCAGCCCAGCCCAGCCCAGCTGGAGAGCCCTGCCCCTGGGCGTCCCCCCGGCCATCCAGCCTCACCATGTCCAAGCGGGGCATGGGCAGCCGGGCCAAGGGGGACAAGGCGGAGGCCCTGGCAGCGCTGCAGGCGGCCAACGAGGACCTTCGAGCCAAGCTCACAGACATCCAGATCGAGCTGCAGCAGGAGAAGAGCAAGGTGGGCTCTCCCCAGACCCCCACCGCTGAATGCCCCACCCTCCCACCACCCCCAGGGCTGGGCTCTTCCGAAGCCAGGTGTAGCCAGGGCCCCGTGGAAATGACCACCCAGTCCTGGAGGCTGCTTGGAACAGGCCACTTGGTGGGGGTGGGTAGGGGGCGGCAGGCAGTGGGAGACTTGAGGGCCCTGTGGGCAGAGGCGCCATGGTGGCCGCAAACCACGGCGAGCTCAGAAAAATGACCCTCTGCTGTGCGGGGACAGCCCTCCTGTCTGGGGCCACAGGGCCCTGGGGGTCTGTGTCCAGTGGTGCCATCCCTGGAAAGGACACTGACTTTCCCACTTCGGTGTCTGTGGTGGAACTGACCTGAAACAGAGTGGGTATGGCTTTCGCATGGAAAAAGACGGGCCGTGGGCTTAGACTTCCGGGTTTGAGAACAGTGCCCGCTGCCAAGCGCGGAGACGCAGGGACGTGCCCAGGGTAGGGGGAGGCCCAAGATGGCCCCTGGCTGGACCCCTAGCCCTCAGGGTTCTTACAGCCTCTGGAACGCTTGGGCTGTGCTGAGCTATGCTGGCAGCCAAGAGGGGGTTGTGGGGAGGGGCTGCCCAGAGGCCAGGCCAAGCCCAGAGTGGGCTACCCCTGACTGAACCTCTTTCCACCTCGGGCATCACCTCTGTCCCTCTCCTTTCCATCTCCTGGTCCCCAGGAGCCGTTAGGGAGTGTGCCCAGGCTCCTGGAAGGAGGAGGCAAAGGAGAGAGCATCTGGAGAGAAGGCAGCACCAGGAAGGGGCTGGGCATGAGGGCAGGTGCCTGCCTGCAGGAACGGGGGCAGCAGGAAGGGTCTGGGTCACTCGTGGATGGTGTCCCTGCTCCCGGCCCTGATGCTCTTCCTCCTGTGTCTTGCCCAGCAAAGGCGTCTGTCTCGGGGTGCTGTGTGGTCTGGTGGTGGAGGGGAGTCAGGTTATTTGGGGCCAGTTGCTTAACCGGCTTACCTTCCTGTGATTCCACCTCCTTGTCATATCAAGAGAAGAGGAAGGTTTCCTGACATGTGATGATCATGTGAAGTTCAGGTTTTAGTGCCCAGGAGGAAAGTTGTATTAGAACATGAGTCATCCCAGCACACTGGGGGCAAGGCGGGAGGATCACTTGAGCCCAGGAGTTTGAGACCAGCCTGGGCAGCACAGCGAAACCTCAACTCTGCAAAGAAATGGGAACATTACCGAGTCCAGCGGCGTGCTCCTGTGGTCTCAGCTGCTCAGGAGGCTGCGGCGAGATGGGTGCTGGGTCTGGGAGGTTGAGGCTCTAGCGAGCTGTGATTGTGCCACTGCACTCTAGCCTGGGCGACAGAGCAAGACCCTGTCTCTAAAAAAATAAAAATGATTAAAGTACAGCTGCACATGCTCATTTACATATTGTCCTTCAAGTTGACCCACAAAACCTAAGATGTTTACCACAGGGCCCTGTCCCGGCCACCCCCGTCCTGCCGGAAGTTCCCTCCTCTGTAGGATGGAGACGAACCCAGCGCCCACTGCCTGTGGCCCGGAGGAGGGGTGCTCCTGAGGCTCCCTGGTACAGCTGGGGGAGAGTCTCGCTCCTCAGACACCAGGAGGCTGAGGGCACGGGGACGTGGTCAGAAAATGTGCGTCCGGCACTTGCTCTGTGCCAGGCGTCCATAAAGCACAAACAACAATGCCCAGAGGCCCAGACTTGCTGCAGGCAGCACAGGGTCAGGGTGTGAATGACCCCCTGAAAATGGGGAGTTTCCCCACATGGAGTCATCAGGCTGCCTGGCAAGCCAAGGATGTGATGTCTTCCGTCTCCCGTTGTGCTGATGGAGGGAGAGATGGCTTGTCCAGGGCCCGGTGAGAATGAAGCTCTTTGTTTTACTGAATAAAAATATAACAACTGTATTTTTTTTTTTTTGAGACAGTCACTCTGTTACCCAGTCTGGAGGGCAGTGGAGCGATCTCAGCTCACTACAGCCTCGACCTCCTGGGCTCCGGCGATCCTCCCACCTCAGCCCCCCGGGTACCGGAGGCCGCAGGTGTGTACCACCATGCCTGGTGTGTTTTTTTTTTTTTTTTTTTTTTTTTTTTTCCACTTTTTTGTAGAGACTGAGTCTTGCCATGTTGCTCAGGCTGGTCTCAAACTCCTGGTCTCAAGCGATCTTCCTGCCTCGACCTTCCAACATGCTGGGGTTACAGGTCTTAGCCACTGCACCTGGCCAATAATTACCTTCTTGACACAAACACTGCCTTGCAGACATTCCAGGTGGAGTCACGGGTTCCCTGTCCACCCAGTTAGGTGTAGTTTTGCCAAAACACATCCGTCTGCGACACCCTGAGGGACACACGCCTCGATGGGCAAGGGGCCGGCTCTCGGCTCTCCAGGTGCTGGCAGGGGCTCCAGGGCCAGCTGTCTGAGGGTGGAAACCCAGACCGCTGGGCACCTTACAGGGCTGTTTAGTTGTGCCCGGAGGAGGATGCAGCCTCCTGTCACAACGTGCAGAAGGCACCAGAGGAAAGGAACAGAGAGGAAGCCTGTTTGCCTCAGAGCGCCTCGCCCTGGACGTCCTCGCCCGACGGTTCACATTACAGTGTATTGAACAAGCGAGCCGAGCCCTGCCTCGTCAAGCGTAACCGACAGCATGCCGGACGCACAGGCGGCCACTCCCTTTTGCCAACTGACCACGGCGCCTCTCGGAGTCGGAGCCACGCAGCTCGCACGGGCTCATCCGTGTTCACGTGCCCTACCATGCGGCGCCTGTCGACGGCATTCAGGCTGCTTCAGCTCTGGGCTGGTACTGCCACCCTGTGTGTGGGTCTTGGACCACATGTGAGATAATTCCTGTAGGAGACGTTCCTGCAAGCCGGGTCGCTCGGCCAGAGCATGTCTGTGTTTGCAGTTTGACGGTGACGTCCCCAGGGCGCGTGGAGAACAGAGAAGATCCTTCAGCGAGGTCCAGCTGGCTCCCAAGGGCTGCTCCAGGAGCTGGGCCGGGAAGAGTCCTCACCACCGGCTCACGCTGGCCAGAAGATGCTGGCTGCTCTGGGACCACCAGGGTTCATGGCTTGGCTCTGCTCCTTCCTGCAGACCTCGTTATTTGGGCTTAGTCAAGGACTCAAATACTCTCAGCTCTGCCAGGGGGGCCTTTCTAAGCTGGGGTTTTCACACCTCGCTGTGTAGCAGAGCCGGGATCTTGGTCCTGCTGGACCAGAAGCTGCTGAGACGGGTGGGGAGGCGTTGAACCTGCCCAGGGCCACTCAGCATCTGGCATCGTGGAGCCACCCTCCCTCTCCTGGACCCCTCCCTCTCCCACCTCCCTCCCTTCCCCCGGCCCCTCCCTCCCCCCACCCCCTCCCTCCCCCAACCCCCTCTCTCCCCCGGCCCCCTCCCTCTCCCAGCCCCCTCCCTCTCCCAGCCCTTTCATTCTGCCAGTCCCAGGGAACAGTGGCTTTCCCACATTAAAGGAGCTTTCAGGGATGCAGAAAATAATTATTCTTTGTCTTCTCAACTTCCAGGGACTACTGCTAACTGAAGCAGGGGCTGGAGAGGAAAAGGCGGGTGGGCCAAAGATGGATCCTTGGACAGGAGAGACTCCCTGGGCCACCAAGACCCCCGGGCATCCTCTGACCCTGCCCCCATCTCAATAGCTTGCTTCCTCCAACTCCGAATCTGTCCCTCCCTGCCTCCTTAGCCCACCCCTCCCCGCCTCATTCACCTGTTCTCCTCCTTCCTGGTCCTGTCTCCCCTGGTGCCTCCGAGCCAAACCTGGACCTTCCGAGCCAAGCGTCATTGAAAGCATTCAAGGCTGGGCACAGTGGTTCCTACCTGTAATCCCAGCACTTTGCAAGGCTGAGGTGGGAGAATCACTTGAGCCCAGGAGTTCACCAGCCTGGGCAGCATGGTGAAACCTGGTCTCCACACAAACAACAAATTAACTGGGCATGGTGGCACTCACCTGTAGTCCCAGCTACTCAGGCTGAGGCGGGAGGATGGCGTGAGCCCAGGAGGTCGAGGCTGCGGTGAGCTGTGATTGTGCCACTGCATTCCAGCCTGGGTGACAGTAAGAGTGTCTCAAAGAACAATGTTTTAAATTAAAAACATTTGCGATTAAAAAAAGATTATGCGCACATGTGTGTGCATGCAGAAAAGCATACGGCAGACAGGCGGATAGCCACCAGCTATGATTAAGAAATGACTGCATTTGGGTTCCAATAGAAGAAAACTGGAAGCTCCGTGCCCTCCGGGAGGGCTGAATGCCCCCGTGCCCCGGCATCTTTCAGGCCTGAGTGACAGCGAGGGTCTCACAGACGGTACAGGACTTCAGCTCATTGCACCTGAGAATCCCGAGGACGCTGGAGCTCTTGCCCCTTCTCCTCCAGCCCCTACCTGGGCATTCTCCTCTCCCTGCTCCGTTCCATGGATGGAATATCCCATCTGAGTTGACCTTTGAGTTTTCCTGAGCAGGGAAGGGCATGAGGCTGTAGCTTCTGCGTGGTTAGAAACAGGACCACGGCTCTCCCATCACCACAGCTCACACAGCGGTTTGACCTCTGCCACAAGAATGTGGGGATTTTTGATCTGCAAAACACTTGCATAAGTCACAGCCAAGTAGGGAAGAGAAAACAGGAATTCACTCCTTCCGATTGCCAGCTTCGGTGCTTCTGCAGGCTTTACTGTGTCCGCGCTAAATGTAATATCATTATTGCAACCCCAGGTGCAGGTGTCTAACTAGACCTTCAGCTATGGAACCGGAGCCTCCCATCTGATTTCCAGCAGATCCAGATGCCCCGGAAGCAGCCATGGAAGGGGGTCCAGTTCTGGACCTTGAGAGGGAAATCAGTGGCTGGCCAGAGGAGCCCTTCCTGGGACAGACCGACCCTGCTCCATCAACCTCTGGCAGCCTGGAGGGACGGGCAGCGCCTGAGCCGGTCTGGAATCTGGCCATGCCCTGGAAGCTCCTACAGCCCACTGGTGGCCAAGGTGGCCTCTGGCAGCC